TTGAGTGATCACTCAAAGTTACAGCAGAACTGAAAAAAGTGACTTAGGACCTTTAGTCACGTGATTTACATTCAGATGCTTTTGACAACTTTTGCATTTATGATGTTTGCAGTGTCCCGGAATCATATGACACCCTTTTACGATCTTCTGACAAGCAAAGTCAATGGGGAAGCCAGATAAACTTAACAACTGTGCAATTTAACAATTTTAAAACGGCAGAGTTTCGCTTAATAAATGGGGCGAGAAAAGTCATAAAATGGGGCAAATACTTTAATTTTTCACTTAACAACATACATTTGGGGCTCAATTGTGGTCGTAAGTTGACGACACAGAACCCCCACCCCCACCCGAAATGTGCCCTTTATTCCACTTAACGCAACCTGTAAGTTTGATGTCCCAAAGGTCAGTGATCTGCTGACACATTATTTAACTCTGGATGATTTCTGTCTGAGGGTGGGTAGAGAGACATTTTATCTCTTGCTTTGCCCAGTACTGAAGTATCGAGCTTTGAAAAGTAAAAGGATTTCAAGCACTTTCTAATTATTTGGCTGGGAGCAAAAAAAAGTTCGTTGAAAATCGCTTATATGAAAAGCGCCAGATGCTCCATATACCCCAGCTTAGCGGTAGCACTGGTTAGGGACTGGCAGAGGAAAGATGAATTCAACAACAAACTATTGTTAAGAGTTCACTAAAGAAAACAGCAATAGCAATAGTTTACTAAAGAAAAAAACGTGCTCTAAAAAGTATCTGCTAGCTTCAGGGTTTAAAAAAAAAAGTCTGGTCGCATTAACTACAACTCCTAAGCTACGCCGCACCCATTCAGAGAAATAATTCAATGCACTTTCCAATGCAAGGCAAAGCAATGCAGGCTGGGAGTTGTGGTTTTTCTCTTCGCGGTAAAGCGCGGGATGAAAGAAAAGACGCCGGACTGTACCTGAGCGGAGGCCAAGGAAGCTTTCCGTCTTTTCCGATGCCCATGTTGTTGGACACAGCAACGATCGAGTACAGAGAGGTTACTACCATTGTTCTTTTCCCGCCGCAGCAACTCGGCAAGCCCCTTTTCTCGCTAGACTTCTGATGAAGGAAATCTGCGGAGCATGCGCAGAGAGGCTCGCCTCCCGCGCGGAGAGAAGGGCGGGTGGTCTTGGCAGCCATGATGGTGGGGTCGGTTTCGTTGAGCGGCGAAGTCGGAGCGCTTCTGTGACCTAACGGCGCCCGCGCTTCATCCGTTGCGGGAAGGAAGAGCCTGGGAAGCCGCCGGCAGACGAGTCCTCCTAGAGCTCCCTCGGCCACCTGCGCGGCTCGTCCCAAGCGGCTCATCGCAGGCGGCGGCTACTTTCTTAATATTTCTGTTCTTGCACCGGGGCTGCGATGCTCCCTGGGCGAAGGAGGAGGCGGCCTAACCCCGGTGACCGGCCTCGGGACCAGCCCGTGTTAAGTAAATTCTTCTCGCCGGTGGCATCCTTGCAGCCCAGCGGCTCCGCTGAGGAGGTGAAAAAGCACTTTCTAACGCCGCTGCTCGGCATATGGTGCGGCCCCGATGGTGGTGAAGGCTGCCCCCCAATGGGGGCGAAACTGGGTCCTCGTTCGTTAAAACTCCTGCACACGAAAGTCTTGCTGTGTTGTGGCCCATTAAGGCACCGTGATCGGGCTGGGTAATTTTAGCGGTCATTCCCCCTCACCTCCACATCCCGTTTTAGCTTTAAGTACTGAGACAACCCGCTGAGCCTAGTGGGATTGACCTCTCCAATGGTTAATAGAAGCCAGGCTGTAGTAGTAGTTGCAGAGCTGCTAATCCTACTTGGAAAGCTTTCTCTTCAAAAAGTTAAATGCCTTTAAATATATAAAGTGTTTGTGGGTGTTTGTTAATATGATTTATTGGCTATGGAGTTTTTCCTCCCATTTCTTTTCTTTTTGTTTTTTTTTTGGTCTTCACTGTGAGTTGTATTGTGTTGGGGTGTGTGTGTACACTGAGGGAGTTCAACCAATCTCATTGTACATATGTTGTGCACTGACAATAAATAATAATAATTATTATATATATTAAGTTTGGGACCTTTGCATTCTACTCTTTGATGCTGTGAAACGTATCTATTAGAATTCAAGATCACCCAACAAAGTTGTTTTGGCTGCAGCTATGATGGTGAATGGAGTCAGATCAGTGGAAATATACTGAAATTTCATTACACTCTGAGTCCCAAATAGTACTAACAGAATTGATGAATAAGCACCCTGCTTGCTTCCTCCCTCCCCATCACAGCAGCAGTGGGCTTAGGACATTCAGGAATCTCTCTTCTGTTCAGTCATTCAAAGTACAGGTAGTTCTAAACTTATGACCACAATTGAGCTCAAAATATTGTTAAGTGAGAAATTTGTTAAGTGTTAAGTTGTTTTGCCCCGTCTTACAACTTTTCTTGCCACATTTGTTAAGTGAATCACTGCGATTGTTAAATTAGTCACATGGTTGTTAAGTGAATCACTGCGATTGTTAAATTAGTCAC